AAAGAGACATTTGGGTTTTTTGTTGTTTTTACAATTTCATTCACATGTTCATTTTAGAAAGCCTAGAAAGCACAGAAAAGCATTGGCAAGTAAATAAAAGTTATCTGCAATCCACCAGATAGTCTTTATTGGTATTCTGCTTTTTCCCTATTCAGGGTTTTAGGGTTTTGGTGCATTTTCATTTAAAAATTGGCATCACATGGGGCGCCTGGGTGGCTCGGTTAAGCGTCTGGATCTCATTGTTGTAAGTTCAAGCCCAGCATTGGGCATGAAGCCTACTTTAAAAAAAATTTTAATGTACTCAGAAGCTGGAAGTCAGTTTCTCCCCTACTGCCTTCAGAGGGAATGTAGCAATGCAGACAACCTAATTCCACATTTGTGGCCCCTAGAACTGTGAAAGAATGCACTTGTTGCTTTGAGGCACCAAAAAAAAAAAAAAAAAGTATGTATCTGCATATACATATGTATTCTTTAAAAACAGCTTTTCATGGCTTATTCAATTTCAGAAGTTATACCATGACTTACTTAGCAATTTCCTGGGATAAGACATCGAAGAGACTTTATGTCTCTATACGTTCACTATCAGAAGTAACAAATTCACGAACATTACTTTGGCATGGAACGCCCCACCCCCCCAAGTCCTCCATAAAGGTGCACCAGTTTGTATCACCACTGCAATCTGTACGTGCCCACTTTACTGCCTCATCACCAACACTGAACACAGTGTCTTCGAAGCACAAAATTACGGAGCTGACAAAAACCATCTCTCTACCCTATCAAATCTCTATCCTATCAAAACTTCTACCCAACGAACAAATAAGACTGCAGCAGAGCACAAGGGTGTAGGAGGGAAATTTCAAGACCACTACTGGAAAAACAGTAATTCAAAAGCACATGCCATATTTGCTATACAATGCTCGTGTGACACTTTATTAGGAAATCTTCGCGTTTTCATTTAAAACACTATCACCAAACCCTACTCCAGGGCTGAAACAGGTTTGCTGCACTAGATCCGATTTGGAGTCACAGACACCAAGGTGGTTAAACTGTATAAAACCACTCTGCACTTTGCCCAAGTCATAATATAGGTTAATCTTAACACCCAATTGAAAACCTGAGGTTGCCACACTCAAGACATGGTACTCTTTCTGTGTGCCAATTAGAGGAAACAATTTTACTTCATGACTCCAATATTTGGGCAAGATTATTATGCACTTTCTTTTTAAGGTTTTTTTTAAAGTAATTTCTACACCCAACATGGGGCTCGAACTCACGACCATGGGATCAAGGGTTCCAAGCTCTTCTGACTGAGCCAGTCAGGCACTCCATTAAGCACTTTAAAAGCAAAGAGGTAGGGGTGCCTAGGTGGCTCAGTAGGTTAAGCATCCTCCTTTGGCTCAGGTCATGATCTCACAACTTGACTCATGTGTTCGAGCCCTGCATCGGGCTCTGTGCTGACAGCCAGCTCAGAGCCTGGAGCCTGTTTCAGATTCTAGGTCTCCCTCTCTCTCTGACCCTCCCCTGCTCACTGTGTGTGTGTCTCTCTCTCAAAAATAAATAAAACGTTAAAAAAAATTTTTAATTAAAAAAAAGGTAAAATTTGGATTAGCTTGTAAAGAACTTTACAGGATTCCTGCCCAACATCTTTTCAGTCATTAGTCCAAAAACGCCAAGTTTTTTTTTGCTTTTCCAGTTTTAAGTACAAGTTCAGGTCAATTTAAGGAAAAATTGCTCTTTAACACTTAGGGCCTCAATAAAACACCTTTTAGAAAGGATTTGTGATCAGTCTGAAAAAAATACATGATCTGGATAGAAGTAAAAATAAAAAGTTACAAGTTTGTCGGATTTCAAAAAAGAAAAACTATTTTGAAAGTTAAGCGACCATAAATTTCTATTTACTGCCAGATAAAGTCTTATATAAAACTCAAGACAAATAATTCAGTCTATTATGTATATGTTAATTTTAATAAAGTCTAGTCCCATATAAACTGCCAAAGGTGTTTAAGGACAATATGACAATAGAACTTAATCCAAAATTAGATGCAAATTCTAGGAATTTTATTAACTGCAAAACGATATATAAGAAATTACCTAACGCCCTATACATAAGCCTTACGAATCTCAGATCCCAGTAAGATTTTGACAACTGGCTTTTCTTTAATGGGACATCTTGCAGAGAAATACACATGTATCGCACATTAGAATCCAGAAAGCCAGATGTACTATCTCTCTCACAGCTAGACAAATCTTAAGAATTTTTCCTCAAAGCTTTAAGTACTATCCAAAGCAGAAGTCTATGTCCTGTCCAAGTTCTCAAACTTCCAACCCCAAAAAGCTGCAAAAATTCTCCAAAATCCTGGACTCTCCAATCTATACAGTCAGAACCAAATACGTATTTTGGCAATTATTTTAGAGTAAGCTTTAAAAGCTCTCAAACCAGGCTAACATGTACTGGAAGATAAGAGGAATGCATTTAAAAAAAAAGAAAAAAAGAAAAACTCTTGAATTCTCTAAAGTGGTAGAAAAAGCCTAAATTACCCTTCTGTTCTAGGAAATAAACTATTTTCTCTTAATGATGATTGGACTTGGCTTTTCCAAGTTATCTCAATGGCCACCAGAAACAACACATTTTTCCCTCTTGTCATTATGTGTACATACATTTTATATGTGTGTGTTCTGTTTACTAGAGTCCTCAGCCAAGGCTTTTAAATGTGTTTGAGAACAAATTGCTGATCGCTGGGTGGGCAGGGAAAGGGTCCAGTGTGGTGGTTTTGTATAATGCTGAGCACATTAATGGGACTCACCAAATACCATATTTATTTTACTTGTGGCTTTCAGGGTTAGAAAGAAAAAAAAAAAAAAGAGGTTAGAGTTTATCAAAAACAAAACAAACTCAAAACAGGGAATTTGGGCAAAATTACCTAGATCATTCAAGGCCTATTTATTTTCCTGAATTTTTAACATTATAAACCTTCTCTCTTCATGGCATATCTGTCTCTGCACTGCGCCTCTTGTACAAGTTGGGTTCTGAAATCTTCGAACTCTCCACTTTGCTTTCTAACGGTCTCGCTGAAATGTCATAGAGCCACATGCCATTCCCACCTGAAAGGAACATTCTCAGGGCAACAGAACAGGGAAGACACAGGACCTACACGAAGTTCACCTGTGGCTCTGTACCTGTGCACCTCACACAAAAAGGCCAACACCTCCATCCTGGTGGCAGGGAGGCGGAGATGGGTTAACTAAGAAAAATGGGACTTTTCTCTAAATTTTATCAAGTTAAATAGGTTATGGTTTGGGAACATATAAACCTTTTTTTGCTACCTCCCAAAAGCCAAAAAGCCTCTGGGGTGCCTGGTTAACTTTTCCATTTACAGGTGTTCTCGATGGAGTGAGCAAAGAAAGATGATTCTCCATATAAAACATTCGTGCCCTTAGAAACAGATGGCCCAGCTAAGTGAAAAGTGATAAGTATCTGAAGTAATTGGGGTGTTGGGTGAATCAGACACAGCAAATCCTTAGAGAAGCGCACTGGCCAGTTTTTAAGTTTTATCTCAGGGGTAGGGAAAATAAACGGCAAAGGAGCCCGGTTTGAGAGCTTTTAAAGCTTGCAATTAAGTCTCCATCTCTTTGAAAAAGAAGGAAGGATATCAGCAGTTGTAAAGCAGCAGCACGTAACACTAGCCAAAACAGTTTATAATAAAATGTGCAAGTTATCCTCAGGTGTGAAGGCAATTTTCAGCTTACTGCAATCAGGTGGGGTGCCCCCATACAGCTGTGCTACGCGAGTAAACTCTTGTGTCTTGCATTGATTTGCAAGGGCTCCATTTTAAAAGTTCCCTTTTCACAAGTGGACAAAGTGCTGGAGGCTTACCCTACGAAGTTAAATCCTCCCCAACATTTCGGTTTCACTATCAGAATCCGGGTTTGTACGCGACACATGGTCTCCATAATCATCTCAACCTCCTAATCAGTTCACCATTCTGTAGACTTTATTATATGCTGGGATCCAATACTTGTAAGAATGCTTTACAGGTCGTGTCTACGCGCATACTTCTTGCATCTACACTCAAGTTCTTTTTAGAACGTTTAAGAACTCAGCTACGTGGGACCTTAGGAAGTAGGCGAAAAATATGGTTTCTTGGACTTCAGATAAATGGCTTTGTTCCTGCAGATACGTTAACAGGATACGACCAATATCCTAACTACAAGATTCTGAAACCCACAGTTAGGGAATGTTGTTTCTACCAAAGGAACGCTCCGCAGCCGCAACTCTTGAGTGTTGTTACGGACGCACCACATAAAATTTACGCTCAGAAGTCAATGTGCTATTAAAACAGCCTCGATGATCGTTTGGTGAATTGTAAAGTTTTAAGCTCTTTTATTCTGCTCCCCCCAGCCGCAGCGCCCCTAAGTTTACAAAATCTAATCACCCAGATTCGGGGTCTTTGACTCACCAGAGAAGAATGCAGCTGATGAGTTATCTATTAATTCAAAATGCCTCAGCTGGAAAGATATTTCACCGAGAACTTTTAACACTGAAGGGGGGGTGGGGGGCAAGGGAACAGAAGGTGTCTCTTAACGAGACCTCTCCCCCGAGTTCCTGCCTTACACCACACATACAAACACACCCCACAACTTCCAGCCCGGGTCGCAGAATGAAGTCCTGACCCTCCGGGTCCCAGTAAACGGAGGTTACCCAGGAGTTAGCTCTCGATTCCGCTTTTAAAATCCTACGCAAACAAAGCTGAGCATTAGACTTCCAAAAGTCTCCAAAAAGTACTTAAAGTTACGCAATGTTTGGGACCCACAAAAACTCTCTCTCCGAAGGAGACCCCCCCCCCCTCCGGGGCCACAACTTGAGGCTGTGCCTCAGGGACACGGGCAATTCCCAAACCTCCGGCTGCGGCGCCCCGGGGCCGGCCGCCCGCTCTCCGGAGAAAGCCCGCGCGGCTGGCGCCCCAGGTCGTACCCCCCGCCGCCCCGAGCCCCCTCGGTACCTCTTCCTCCTGAAGGTTGGCCTCGTTCGGGCTGTTCTCCTTCTCGGCTTTGCCGCCGTTGTTCATCTTCCCGGTCCTTCCTCGCCGGGCAGGGCTGGGGCGCGGGGCTGGGCGAGGGCGCGCTCGCCCACTTTTCCCTTCCCCGGGCGCCGGGGCTCCCTCGGGCGGGCGCCGCGGGCTGCGGGCGCTGGAGCCGGGGCCGCGGCGGCTCGGGCTCCCGCGGCGGAGCGAGACTGCGGCGGCGGGCGACCCAGGAAGTGCGAGGGAGAGACGAGGCAGGGCGAGGCGCGGGCCGACTGGGAAGGGGACGGAGACAATCGGGACCCGGGAGGGAGACCTGGAGAGGGAGGGCGGGCGCGAGGGAAGGAAGGAAGGAAGGAAGGAAGAAAGGATGGGGCGAGGGCGCGCGTCCCAGGAGGGAGCCCAGAGAGTCGGGGAGGTGGCCGAGTAGGGGCTGGGGGCGGCCGCTGCCCGAACCTAGCGGGCGCCGGAGGGAGGGGACAAGGGGTGCCCAGACCCGAGGAGGAGGAGGTGCGGGGCGCGGGCCACGGCTGGGACGCGGAGACCGGAGAGCCGCTGAGTGCGCGCTCCAGGCAGGCTCTGGGAAGTACGGGATCCAAACAGCTCCCTTTCTCTCGCTTTCCTCCCTCCCCTCTCTCCTCCCTCTCCTCCTCCTCCTCCCCCCTCCCCCCTCCCTAGACGAGGGCTGCCGGCTTTAGCCCGGAGGGACGGGACGCGGGACGGAGAAGCCCCCCGCGGGAGGAGGGGCTGCGCCGGGGGCGGCTGCGCCGGGGGCGGCTGCCCCGCGGCCGGATGGCGCGCGCCGGGGAGGGGCCGCGGGCGGCGGGCGGAAGCGGCCGACCCCAGCCCCCAACTCCGCGGTAGGTCGGAGGGCGAGGGCCGCGGCGAGGGAGGGAAGGAGGCCGGGTCCTCTAGCTCCCTCGGGCCCCCGGCGGCCCGGCCGGAGTTGGCGAACTCGCGTGGCGGTGCGCGCCAGCTTGGAGAGGCGCTTCGGGGGGCCCGGCCGGGCCAGCGCGACGCCAGGGAAGGGTGATGGGCTACTGCCGTGGGCTTGCTTCCCGCGGGGAGTCGCACCCCTATCCCCGAGGCTGCCCCTCCTTTTCAGTACCGGCTTCCACCCATTTCCTCCCTTCCTAGTTGGCAGCTTGAGATGACAGGATGCGAGAGAACAAGCGACGTCCTGGGGCAGCTCGCTCCGGGCCGGCATTTTCGGGGCACAGCTCAAACCGCCCCCCGCCCCCGCTCCAACGCCGGGTCCTCCCAAACCTCCCAACCTCCCTGCACCGGCCGTTGCTCCCGGTGAAGCTTCACGGGCCCCCCCAGCTCAGGCTCCTCTCGCCGCCCTTAGCAGACCTTTCTGGAATTGTTTACCTGGCTGCCTCCCTTACTCTTCTGGAGAGCCTTCCTGCTAGACCACACCGTGCCCTGTTTATCTTTATAATCCCACGGTCATTCAAATTCGCTACCTGGTATATAGGGCCTCCTGTCTACCTATCAATAAATATTTGTTGGCTAAGTGAATGTCCCTCACAGCCCGCCGAACTTGTGGCCAACACAGATGATCTTCAGAGGGTCAAAGCAACTTGAAGAAGAAAGGGCTCGGCGTTCCGGGAGGTCAGCCCACCACGCCTATTTATGCACCAACCTCTAGTTTTCTCACCTGTGAAATGGGACTAGTTACAGTTACCTCCCAGGGGGTTGCAATCAGAGGAGATTATAGGTTGGTAGAGCTACAGCACCCAGCACCAGTTCCTGCCCGGTTTCAGTCGACATTACATGGAAGCTAACATTATTATTAAGGAAATTTCCATTTTTCCGGGGTCATAGAGAGCTTCTCCATTCCTGTATCATAAACACATAAATTTTAAACTGCTTATATCAGTAGGTTCTCCCTCACTTCCCACGCCCAGGAATTCTCTCGCACAGCATGCTTTTCCTTTCCAGCCCAGCACCAATCACAATTTCTATTTATTTGCTTGCCTCACTGTTTATCTCTCTCTGCACCCCCCCCAACACACACACACATTCTTCACCCTATACTGGTTTAAGTGCTGCTGGGAGTGGGATGGGGCTGGAAGTGAAGATAAGACTCCTGCTTTTAGGGAATTTAAACTGGTGTCCTAGAGACAGATGCCCAAAACAACTCCAGGGCAACATAATCAGGGATCCTGGTTGAAATTGTAGAAGGCAAAGAAAACACTCGTATTCAGAGCATGATGACCAAAAAAAAAAAAAAAAAAAAGACTGGTGATAATTCGATTTACCCATTGGATTTTCCTTGGGTTGGGGAGTAGAGGGACTCTGAAGATTTTGATAAATAGATTTAATTGCTGTCCTGATGTCATGTCTCTCTGTGGCAGGAGAGGGTGGATGTGTATGCTGGATGAAAATAAGCCAAGAATCTTGAAATTGCAATAGGAGTCCGGCAGAAGCAAGGGCCACAGTTAATCAGTAAACGTGCACAGCCCGGTCCATTCCCAATCCCTCCCTCAGTTACATAAGGAACCACGAGGGGGCGATGTCTTCCTGATCAATGGCTGAGTGGTGGTCTTGGCCCCTTTGCCACCGATACTGCCAGCACTTTGCCCTCCTTGGCCACTGCCTGTTACTGAATACACCCCACAGAAAGACATTGTCTTGCTGGAGCCTGGCAAAGGCCCAAGAAAAGTGACAATTGATCTAGTCATTGATGGTTCCAGTCAGACTCCACTTATGAGTAGGTGGAAGATGTAGGATTCCAGGATGCTGGCAGAACCTCCCCTACCCCCACCCAGGGAAATGTGGCTTAATTCCAAATGGAGAACCTGATTCCTTTGTCTTTAAGCCAAGCCGGCACTTTGTCCATTGTTAACAGTTAAAAACCTCTGGGGATAAAAAATGAAAATAAGGGCAATGAGAGCATCTTGATTTGTTCATTGTTGTGTTCCGAACATCTAGACACTGCCTAACACATACTAGGCACTCCATGATTATTTTTGAATGAATGAACACATTAAATCATTGATTCTCAGGCTTGAATGACGTTATCAGATCCTTCCAAGATCCTGCAGAAGGGACTGAGTTAGGGGAGGCATCTCAGGCTGGAGAGTCACCACAAGGGCACTAGCAGAGTCATGGTAGTGGTCTTCAGTCGTTATTTTGCAGGGGGAGACCCTAGATAGAGAGCTTGTGTGGAAGGAGACAACTGATGAGATTTCAAAAATAAAAAATCCCACCCCTCGGCCAGTCCACCTAACACATCGGGCAATTAACAATACAGAAGGGAGGCCTAGAACATACCTCCATGGTAAGCACGACACTCAGGGTGTTTTCAGAAAAGTATGTGGGGATGGGGGTCATATGCCACAAAAAGAGGGATCCTGTTTTCTGTCCTTTCCATGAAGAATGGCGTAGACTTACCTGGAAGAAAAATAGGGTCATGGGGTACGAACAAAACCCAATGAAAATCTGTAAATAGACTTTGGCTGTTTATAAAACTTAGGGGAAAGAGATCATTCAGGATATAAATGATCTTTCTGACCTGTTTACTGCCTCAAAGAAAGAAAGTTTCAAAAGTGAGATCTGAGTAGTACTAGTTTCCAAACACACTACGAGCTACAAGACAACAAAGGGATTTTATATCCTAGGAAAGTAGGGCTAATGACCACGAAACATCTGCTTTCTCTCCTGCCCACCACTTTACCGCTTTGCTTCTAGCCTACGAGGTTACAGACTAGATTGAAAGGGATATATTGTACGCACCTGTAGTTTTATTACTTATCTCTGTTTCTCTGGCAGTGTTCATTTTGAGGCTTGCTTTAAGAAATCCAAACCTATAATTACATCTTAAATGTTTGTCTCTGGGAATTGCAGACATTAAAGATCTATTTTGAGGTAGTTTGCATGGCATGGGTTTTGTGCGTATGTTAGCACTGCAGCAGAAAGCTACAGTATCTACCACATGAGTTGTTAGTATCTGTTAACACTTTTGCATCCTCGGCTAGACCCAAAAAGTTCTTGAGGCCAGAGGCTATGTTTTAGAGTTTTGTCATCCTTGACCTCTCTCTCCCTCCCCCACCCCACTCACCTCCAGGCCATCATCATCTTCCCCTGATTTTATTAATTAGTTTATAATTATGGCTTTAAAAAAGACACAAAACAGTTTTTGCCATTCTTCAGCGCACAGTTCAGCAGTGTGGAGTATATATTCACATCGTTGTGCAACATCCTCTTGATTTTCACCTCCTAAATAGTTGTGAGATTCGATCACTTCCCTCCAATCTTTTGTGGAAGCCCATGCAGCCACGTGGAAAGGCTCACATGGAAGAGAATTACGTCCCAGACTCACAGCTCCAGCGGAAGTCTCAGGGGACAGCTGGTACCAATTGCCAGCCTTTTGAGTGAGTTTTCTTGGAAGTGGATACTCCAGCCCTGATTGAGCTGCTCCCGCTGACGCCACACAGAAGAGGGATGAGCTGTCTTCAGAGTCATGTCCAAACTGCAAGACTGTTAGCAAAAAAGTAAATGCTGTTGTTTTAAAACACTAAATTTAGGGGCGCCTGGGTGGCTCAGTTGGTTGAGCATCTAACTCGGCTCAGGTCATGATCTCACAGATTGTGAATTTGAGCCCCATGTCAGGCTCTGTGCTGACAGCTTGGAGCCTGGAGCCTGCTTCGGATTGTTTCTCCTTCTCTCTCTCTGCCCCTCCCCCACTTGTGCTCTGTCTCTCTCTGTCTCTCAAAAATAAGTAAATGTAAAAAAAAATTTTTTTAATAAAAGTAAAACACTAAGTTTGAAGGTGGCTTCTTATCTAGCAATAGATAACTAAAACATAAGTGCATACCTAGAGGTAAGGTCCTGGTGTATAGAAACCTGAAACTGACAGTGGCTTTGGGACCAGGTGGAGGATGGAAGCTGGAAGAACTCTGAGGAATCTATTAGTGAAGAGCATTACTAAGGCGCAGTGAGTACTGTTATAACAGGCTGGAGAGGGGCCAGATTTATCTACTGGAAAAACAATTAGCTAAACAAGCTTGTTGTTACATGAAAGATAGAAAAGATACCTAATGAACATGTGGGTCTGGCTAAGTAGATATTTGGACAGATGTTGAAAAGGTTGAAGAATTTCTTGGGTCACCTGGGTGGCTCAGTTGGTCAAGCATCTGACTTCGGCTCAAGTCATGATCTCATTGTTTGGGAGTTCAATCCTCATATCTGCACTGACAGTGCAGAGCCTGCCTGGGATTCTTTCTCTCCCTCTCTCTGCCCCTCCACCACTGGCTCTCTCTCGCTCTCTCAAAATAAATGAATAAACTTAAAAAAAAAGTTGAGGGGCACCTGGGTGGCACAATCAGTTAAGCATCCGACTTCGACTCAGGTCATGATCTCACTGTTTGTGAGTTTGGGCCCCGTGTCGGGCTCTGTGCTGACAGCTCAGAGGCTGGAGCCTGCTTCAGATTCTGTGTCTCCCTCTCTCTCTGCCCTTCCCCCTATTTGCTCTCTCTTTCACTCAAAAATAAACATTTAAAAAAACAGGAAAAAAAAGATTGAAGAATTTTTTTCAGATACTTACAATATAGTACAAGACAAGTGAGAGGGGCCCCC